CTGCATACTTCCAACCCAAGCGGCACAGGTTCGATCCCTCATCAGGGAACTAAGATCCCACATGCCATGTGACCAAAATAAAAACAAAAAATACATTAAAAATAGCACAGATTTATTATTGCATACTTAAAAAAAAAAGAAGGGACATGAATAAGTAAATTTCCAGACAAGTGTGGCATTATTTTCACATATGTTTAGATACCCATAAATAAAGACCGTTTTCACTTGAGGATACAGCCTCGTCGCCGTGCAGCAGGGTCTCTCACCCAGGCACTACTGATGTTTAGGGTCGGGTAATTCTTTGCTGTAGAGGGGAAAGAGGGCTGTCTTGCGCATGGCAGCGTGTCCGGAAGCAGTCCTGGCCTCTGCCCACTAGAGGCCAGAGCATCTCCCCACCAAGTTGAGACAACCCAAAATTTTCCAGATGTTGCCAAATGTCCTCTGGGGGCAAAACTCCCTCACTGACAACTGCCATGTAGCTGGATCTCCCACACATCAATCAGCCATTGGGATGTCTTCAGTCCCTGCTCCACGTCAACTGCCACAGCTCTGGGATAATCAACCAACTTCCCATGTGTCACAAGTGGAATGGAGAAGCTGCTTCTCTGAATTCATCTCGGAAAGACAAAGCAGGGAGCTTACTGAGATATAGAAATGATCAGACAGGTAGCATGTGAAAAATAGAACAAAAAGATAATGCTGAAGTGAGATGAAAAATAATGAAAGGAGAAGTGGTGGACGGGGTGGGGGGAGATGGGGGAGGGGAAGCAATAAGACAGACAGAAGAAAGGGAAATGGAAAGAAGAAAGAGGTCAGCAGAGAGAAGGGATTTTTACATTCTGGTATTTGTAGGACAGAGCGACCCATTATATGAAAAAGTGGCATATTTTCATCAGGCATAATTTTTTTTAAAGGCAACTCAGTCTGAGGAAGAGGGTCAAGAACTTTCTACCAATTCACTGTGAGGCTTTAGGAAAAGACCATTGTCCCCAGATGATGGACCCCTCAGGGGAGTTCTCTGTGAAGGCTCTTTGTTAAGGCCTCATATGCCTAAAACTGTAAAGCCCTTTAAAACAGCTTATCCTGGAGTCTCACCCACGGTTACTGTTCCTGGTGTACAATGAATCCAAATGAAGGTTTATAATAGGTCTTTAAAAGCCTGAGCACGACTCTTCACATCCAGGGTACAAATCAATTTTCTTTAACTGCTACTTCCCAGAAACCTATTTCATCTCAAAACACCCCCTGGGAAACAGAAAAGCTCTGGATATTTTTCATATTGTTACTCCCCTCGGAGTGTTCAGGTGGCTAGTTAAATGGTAGCTCTAGATATGATGAGATTCCAAACTACATAGATGACAACATGCTTATTTCTGAATCTGGTCACAGGTCAAGGTTACATTTGATAAACTAGCCACTCAATTTGTACAGTATCTCTTCTTTCATGTATGTTTTAAAGCACTCATTATAAAAACCTTCCTTTTTTAAAAATTGTTATTTCCATAGGTTTTCATGGTCAAACAAAATTAACAGTAACAAAACCCCTCTAATCCTGTGATCCTCAAACTTTAATAAAAGGCATAGAAATCACTTGAGGATCTTGTTAGAATAGATTTTAATCTAGATCTGGGGCGAGGCCTGAGATTCCATATTCCTAAGAAGTTCTCAGGTGATGCTGAGATGGCTGGTTCATGGACCACACTTTGAGTAAGAAGGCTGTTAAGTCTCATGTGGGACTAACCATTGAATCTAATCAGAGTCTGCTCTGCATATCAGTGAACAGGGAAATATGTGTGGATGAGAAGTGGAGAGCACGTGGTCATGAAGGATTTAGGGCTGGGCAGCGGCTTTTAGACTGGGCACAACGACGACATAATAAAGAAATACAAGAGGAGTGCTCACTTCGGCAGCACATACACTAAAATTGGAATGATACAGAGATTAGCATGGCCCCTGAGCAAGGACGACAAGCAAATCTGCAAAGCATTCCATACTTCTGAGAGGGGATATATGTATACCTATGGCTGATTCATGTTGAGGTTTGACAGAAAACAACAAAATTCTGTAAAGCAATTATCCTTCAATAAAAAATAAACTAAAAAAAAAAATACAAGTGGAAAAAAAAAGAAAAGAAAATCGTAAGCCTTATCCAGCCTAATCCATCCCCTCAATTTACCTATCTGATTATGCTGCTTCCCTCCTGCGAAAACTTTAGGGCTGACTGCCCATTTAACCAAGGAAAGTCCAAACTCTCTCGTGAGAAGTTCAACCCTTTCATGAGAGCTTCAGCTCAACTACCCTCACCCAACATGTACACAGTGAAGCAGCCACCCCGATTCTGTGGTGCTCCCCCAAATGTCATGCATACAACATTGCCCTGATTTGGTCCCACTGCCCCCTCTTCCTAAATGGCTCACCATCCAAATCTTCGCCCTCCTTCAAAGCCAGCTTCAGATGTCATTTCTTCAGGCTTCTTTGGTGCAAGGCAAGGGATTGATCCCGGGTCTGGGAAGATCTCACCTGCTGTGGGGCAACTAAGCCCACGCACCACAAATTCTGGGCCCACACTCTAGAGCCCGTGGTCCTAACAAAAGAAGCCACCACAGTAAGAAGTCCATTGCCTCAACTAGAGAGGAGCCTCCACTCACTGCAACCAGAGAACACCTGCGTGCAGCAACAGAGACCCAGCACAGCCAAAAATAAATATTTAAAAAAAAATCACCTCTTCCAGGAAGCATCCCCAAGCCTTCTAGGAATAAGGTAGTAGTTCTGCTCACCACACCCTGCACTCGGCACTCAAACACCTACACTGGTGCGTTTGGTTTTCTGTAAGGTTATGGCCCAACCAATAAAATTAAGAAACTATCTGAAACCTAACTCAAGAGTTAAAAGAGTACCCAGTTTCCTCATCTTTCCATCCCTGGCTCCTAGAGAAAGGAGTCCGTCATCCAACCCTCTGAAGAATTAAAAATTCCATCGGATTACCTCCCCAGTCTTTTGATCCTAAAATGAAACCATGAGTGATTTCAGCACCCTGGCATATAGCCACCTACTCAAGAACCCTGGTGGCTCAGCTGGTGAAGAATCTGCCTGCAATGCAAGAGACCTGGGTTAGATCCCTGGGTTGGGAAGATCCCCTGGAGGAGGGCATGCAACCCATTCCAGTATTCTCGCCTGGAAAATCCCCAAGGACAGAGGAGCCTGGTGGGCTACAGTCCATGGGGTCGCAAAGAATCGGACACAACTGACCGACTAAGCACAACAGTAACAACTCAAGAACCTCATTCCTTCAGCAGCCTGTACCCCTGCATCATGGATTTTTCTTCAGTGGCTGCCGGATCATTTTCATCAGGATAAACCCTCTTTGTAAACAAACACACAACAAAAAGACCATGCCTTGCCTCTTCCTCCACCCCATTTCTCTATTCCCCTTTACAACGAAACTCCCAAGGGGAATTAGTAGACTTGCCTTCCCCACTTCCTCCCCTTCGATCCTGTCTTGACCCACATCTCCATTCACCAAAACGGCGCTTGTCAAGGGTGCCACAGACCAAAGTGGGGCAGAAGCAGGAGTCACTTCCCAGACCCCTCTCACTCGACATCTGGGCAGCATTAGACACAGTTGGTCACTCTCCCTCTGAAACCCCTTTTGTACTTATCTTCTGGAACACAGCTTCTTTCTTCTCTGTGCCCATGCCTGTTCCTTTCCAGTCTCCTCTGCTGGACCCTCCATTTTCCTAACTGGAGGGAACCAAGCCTCAGTCTTTGGACTTTTCCCCTCTCTATCTACCCTTCAACTCCACGAGGTCATATCCGGCCCCATAGCTTTAAACGCCATGTATAAACTAAGGATGCCCAAATGTCTACCAGTCCAGACTTCTCCCGGGGAACTAGACTCACCCAATTACCTCGAAATCAATACACCTAAGATGAAATTATTGACACAAGCTCCCCTCTAAGCCAGCTCCTCCCACCAGACTTTCTCGTCTCATGAAGTCGGGGCTCTGGTCTATCAGGCGCTCACACACAACCCATGGAGGCGTCCGTGCCTCCTCCGTCTCACCTGCCGCATCCACTGCATCTGTGATCCCTTCAGCAACACCTTCGAGAGCTCTGCAGGGGCGGTTACTACCACCTGTTGTTACTCCCACGACAAGGACGACTGCTGTTACTACTCGAGTCTGCGCTGCCATCACCCCTTGCCTGAACCCGTGAGAGGGTCCTAACCGGGCTCCTCGCTGCCACTCTTGCCCCGTCTCCAGTGTCATCGCCTATTTTCCACACAGAGTCAGAGGAGGTCTTTTAAATAAGGCAGGCCATACCACTATTCTCCTAAAGCCTTATAAGTCTTTCTTATATTCCTTAGAATGAAATTCAACATGTTTCCCCAGACCCTTGAGTCTACATGTGACGAGGGGTCCCGCTAACCCTCCAGATCTCCTGCCCCAGCACTTGCCACTTCCTTCAAGCGGCGGCAGTCTCATCCACCTCTCTACTTTTTCTTGAACACTGTTCCTGCCACAGGGCCCCTTCCATAGTCTCCCTTTCTGGACATTCACAAGGCCTCACCTGCACTATATTCAGGATTCTGCTCCAATGTGTCTGGATCAGACAAGAAAGCCCTTTCCTGACACCCTGTGTGACTCAAACTCCACTGGAATCTAGCCCTCTTGCACTACTTCATTCATTTTTGTGTGGATTCTCTGTCTCTCTCTCTCTACTAAAACATAACCTTCGTAAGAACTGGGACTTACTTATTTTGTTATAGCTGCATCCCTTAGCACAGGGCCTGGCAAACAGTGGGTGATCAATACCTTTTTACTGGATGAATAAATGAATATCATTTTAGATGGTCAAAAAAATAATTCTATGACTTTATGCATTATGGAAAAAAACCATGACAACATTCCAAAGGGACTTTAAAACTCTACTAAATTATAGTCTTTTAAGATAATAAGTCCTGACAGAGAGCTTGTAATGCAGAGGAGAGGCACACTCACTTCCTGATCACCGTCTTGGACTCTGATGAACTTTGGCCTCCTTCTTCTTCACAGTTTGGGCTTGTCAGGTTCCCATACCTTTATAGATAAAAACAAACACACAAATATGTAAACAGAAAACACAGTGGATGGTGCCAGAAAGCAATTGTATTCTATCTAAACTACAAGATAAGAGTTATACTTTTCAGGAGTACTTAAAGAAAGTAACATTTGTGAAATGGCATCCAAAAATGATACTGTATTTTTTATATTTATCTAATGGGTATATATGTATATATATACAAATATATATGTATATATATACATTTTCCATATATATATATATATATATGCAGAATTTGTATCTGTATGCATACACACACACATATATTTACTCCAACAGAATAGCAATTTAATGATGAATCACACCACTTAAAACTTTCTCTTACTACTCAACGTTTCTTTGAATATTTTAGATGAACTTGGGCTTTTCCTCTCAGCAGGAGAATCAGTCATTACATGAGGCACAGATGGGAGATTCCTCCTGAGTTCTGGAGCATCAACCCCCCACCCCTGCCCCTCTCTGTATCCACTGAAGGAACACGTGGCTTTGCTTGCTCAGCCTTCATGCCTGCACCACATGTGGGCACAAGCTGATCACTCCATGCTCTGCGTATGAGTCTGGTCTCCTTGAGGATAAGTTCTATTGAAGCAGCATTACGGGAATGGTTCTGAACCCTCAGGTTAGGCTGAGATAGGGACAAGGACAGAAGAACAGAATCCTCATGTCTCAACAACCATGAGAGCAGCAGTGTGTACACGGAGGCTGGTCCAGGCTTCCCCAGCCACTTGGGGAGGGCGACACAGGGGCGCAAAGCAACCGGTGCTTAAATTTTAAAATCTCTCTCACTGCAAACTCAAAACCTGCTCAATAATGGATTGCTCCCTAGTCACACTGTTAGGTGTCCTTTCAACTCCATAGGTAATGCAAGTCTATTTCATACAGAAATATCATGTTCCATTTGGCTCAGAGTATACATTTAGTAAATTCACTTCAAAGTCTTAAGGAGTAGCCTATGTTATTCACTTAGAACACCTAGACTATTTCTGCAGTTTCTCTTCCCGCCAGTGGAGCATTCGGAGATTCCTTGGAGTTTCACAAGCTGGCGATCTGTCCCAAAGTTCTGGTAACAGAAATTCTATAACTGGCAGGGTTTACATTTTTAAAGAGCACATTTTTGTCTTCCACTAATGGGATTAAGGGCCCCAGGACCCTTATGGTTCCTCATTCTGAGGATTTACAAGTCCTTTAAAACATAAAAGCCCGCCATCTGGTTTGACCGAATGCCAGTCCATCTGGTCTCCCCATCGCCCTATCCCAGGAGGTTCCGTGTACGCCCTTAGGCTTTAGCCTCCCCCCGCCTCCCTTCCACCTGCTCCTTTCTCGAGCTCATCAGCCTTATGGACTTCTTGGCCTCCCAAAGATATTTTCCACTGGCCTCCGCCCTCCCTGTTCCTCTTCATTCTGCACCTGCTATTTAGAGGCTCCCAGGGTTACCCTTTGCTTTCCCTGAGATAAGAACCAGGCAGATTAAGACTAATGCAGGCCCCCCGTGAGCAAGGCAGGGCTGGGGAATGAGGTTCCTAGTAAATAAACAGAGCAGGATTTCTTGGCTCTCTCTTTGGCCACCATCATAGCGAACCCTGTCCTCATGTTCCCTTACAACAGACTCTGTGGTTTATTTAAGTAGGAAAGATGAGGTGAGTGCAGTGAAGTGGGGGGCCACCATGCCACGCCACCCCTTTGACCAGACTGACCCATCAACTCTTGCCCCCCAGCCCTCAGTGACTAAATGTGGGATTTTGTTTTCGTCACATTCTGTGCGCCTTCGTTAATTCTCTCTCTGGTTATCCTGGAAACACTGCACCAACTAGAAGCTCTGAGAGATAGAAACAAAAGGGCAGAAAAGACTTTACAAGGGAAAGATACACATTCTCTTGCTCCTGATATTCTTTCCAGAGATGATGTTTATACTAAAAATCCCCTAACCTTCCTATCCCATGTCTTTACTTAAGCATCTCATACTCGGCTGCTCTTTCTCTACAGTTTGCAGACCCATAACTGAAAGGGTGGTTGGGATAACATGAACACCCATCACAGTTCTGTTCCCAGATGATGCCACAGGTGCAGTCAGACAGGTCATGGACTAAGCAACTGACAATGGTGAGTGAGTGAAGTTCTCTTTCTTTAGTGAACCTAGTACCATCTGCTCAGAAGACCACTCAGATACTCCTCCCCATCAGCAGAGAATCGAGAGGCTCATAATCAGGACCAGCATGATTGGTTGGTAAAAACTCAGAGACCAATGAGAACCATCAATAACAAGCCTCGCGTGTGTTGGCACACATGGTCCAGGTACTTGGGCTCAAAGGCTGCAGCATGCCTAACTCTTCTCTGCCCAACCCACAGGAAATCCTTTTAGTTCTGCCTTTACAACATATCCTGAATCCTAGCACTTCTCATCACTTCCACTCTGGCTCACACTGCCGCCATCTTTGGCTGAGATCAATGCAACAACCACTTAACTCCTCTCCTGGCTTCTGCCAAGTGATGCTGTTCATTCCACTGCTTGGCTCAAAACCCTCCTCCGGCTTCCACTCTTCTCCACCCTGAGAAAAGGTCCATGTCTTACCTGTCTCCCAAGGCCCTAAGTGACCTGCCACTTGATATCTCTGACCACATTTCCTACACTCACTCAGTCCCCTCTGACCTCACTGGCTCCTCCCCACATCAGGCATCCTCCTGCCTCAGCATCTCTGCACTTGCTGTCAACTGCTTCCCAGGCCCACTCCAATGCCACACTCCCTGGGCTCCTGCAGGCCTCAACTCCAATATCACTTTATCAGTGAGGCCTTCCCTGACCATCCTATGTAAAAGAAACACTAACACCACTGCTTTATTCTCTTCCACAGCCTTGAATACCTTCCAGCATACTGTACAATTAATATAGTTGTTATGTTAACTGTCCATGAGAACATAAACCCCATAAGAGCAGGACTTCTGTCTCTTTAGAGCTTAAAACAGTGCCTAGCACCAATAGGAATGTTGATGACTATTTCTAGCGGGGTTCTCTAAGCAGACATGAAGATGAACTTCCTAACAACTAGGTTCAAAATTGTCTCTATAAAAGCATCATGTGACTTTTTATTTATACACATGTCTTAACCTGTCCGTGCCTTCATTTCTAACAATCTAGGAGGATAAAAAAGCTTTAGGATAGCTGGTATCATTACAGAAAATCTGAAATTAAAATGCAAAAGTAATAAATAAGATCTTAAAGCTGAGATCTTGAAGGCATAAGCAGTATAAAATGCAAAATAATGTATGTATATAGTTTTACAGAGGAGACCTTTAGAAGCAAGATAAAATTAAAAAGCCAACAACCCTCTGGAATTTAACAGACTAGGGAGAGGATAATTATTTGCCCCTGCACTTTTCTTATCATTAAGGAGAATTAAATCTTACAGAAAAGAAACTAGACCAGAATTGGAAATAAGTTCTCTTTAATGTTCAAGCTAGGTCATTTGAGAGTTAAGAGTTAGTTTTATGAGATTAAGAGTGTTTCTTTGATGTTTCCTGGACCCTCTCATAGCTTCCCATCAAAAACCAAAGTCAAGTTCAATTCATTTACTCCAGGGGAGTAAATAAAGGGTGTGTGTGTGTGTGTGTGTGTGTGTTTAATTAATGAGTTGCTACAGACAAACCTGTCAACAATGTCACCTCCAATTTCTGCAAAACCTCCCTAGGATTTAAGATCAAAGCTCCAACCTCTTAAGAAGGCTTACCATTGAGAAACTGCCTTTCTTTAAATGGTAATTCAAAAAACTTAAATTAAAATACAAATTATCAGAATAACTTCTGACACAGTTTACTCTATAGTCACAAGGCAAAAGAAAGAATTGTGAATGTCTTCTAAAGTATAAATTATTTACTGTTACCTAGAAATGACTAGAAAAAGAGAAAAAACTCATGCTTAACTGGTTGCTAATATTTAAACAGGAAACAGTTATTTCCCAGGGGAATGGATGTATTGTTTGGAGCCTATCTGGGCAGAAAAAAATGTTTAATGTGTGTTTGAAAGGAGGACCAGGGACACCTGTAGTTCAGAGAAATCTTAAGATAACGTTAACCCCGGGACAGCCCTTCTGGTGGGGGGGACGGGGGGCAGCTTTCTAACCTCTACTCCCTAACAGAAGAGTCTCAGCAACATCAGACCAGGATGGGGATAATCCTAAAGAACATTTCAGGCTCCACTTGATTATGGCAAGTGATCCCTTGATAACAGCAGTTAAAAATTACTGAGAGCTCACTACAGGCCAGGCACTGTGCTAAGCACATTACATGGATTGTTTCATTTGGATTGATGGATTATCTCATGATTATCCTATATGGGGCTTCCCTAGTGGCTCAGATAGTAAAGAATCCACCTGCAATGTGGGAGACCTGGGTTCAATCCCTGGGTTGGGAAGATCCCCTGGAGGAGGGCATGGCAACCCACTCCAGTATTCTGGCTTGGAGAATCTCCATGGACAGAGGAGCCTGGTGGGCTACAGTCCATGGAGTTGCAAAGAGTCAGACATGACTGAGTGACTAAGCACATAATCCTATATTATAGAATTATTCTTCTTCCTATTTAATGAATGAGAAAATAAGGCTCAGAGAGCTTAAGCCATTTGCCCTCGAAGACACAGCTAATCAGTAAAACAAGGATTTGAACCTTGACAGTCAGGCTCTAGAGCCCAGCCTCTGAGCTACCACCCTATCATACAAACCACAGTTATTTTGTTTGTTTATTTTATGTATCCCTTCACCGAATGATAAATTCTTTAGGGTTGGAAACCTTGGGTTTTTCACTTAATCATTCTTTTTTTTTCACTCATTTAGTCCTCATTATTTGTTAAACCTTATGTTTGGGTACTATTCTGGGCATTAAGGATACAGCAGTGAATTAACCCCAACCCCTGTTTTCATGGGGCAGGGGGGAGATAAACAATAAACTAGTGATTAGTGCATATATAATAGAAAGATGGTGAAAAGT